ACATCTAAAATAACCTTGACCCCTTTTTCAAATTATGCACAAGAATTAATTTGAGATAGATGGCAAGTCTAAACATCAAAATTAAAACTATAAAGCTTCTAGAGGAAAATGTTCAGAGCAAAGTGAAATCCTCCTATATCATCAGTGGCAGACATCAAAATCACTTTGGAACGAAGGAGGCAAGAAAAAGATCAGCAGTTGCCAAGGACCGAGGTAGAGAGGGAGAATAGGTGGAGCGCAGAGAATTTTTAGGGCAGTGAAAATACTGTGGATGAATTGTAACCGTGGATACATGTCATTATACATTTGTCTAAACTCAGAGAGTAGCACACCTAGGACGAGCCCCATGGTCGACTATGGATTCTGGACGATGCAGCAGGGGTGGATTCATCCGTTGTAACAAAGGTACCACTGTGATGGAGGTGTCTGTGCTCAGGAGGCTACGCCTATGTGGGGGCAAAGGTGGAGGAGCATCCTCCATACCGTCCTCTCAGTTTGCCCTTGAACCTAATATTGCTCTTTAAAAAAATGAAATCACTTTGGAAATAGTTCTAGAAGTTTTGTATAAAGCTTAACACATGTCTATCTTCCTGATGACCCTGCAGTTTCACTCCTGGGTATTTGAAATAAAAATGAAAATCCACAAAATTAAATGTAGAAGAATGTTTACATAACATTGATTCTGACGAGCTCAAAACTGAAAACTGCTCATGTGTCCATCAACGAGAGAATGAAAAAACTATTATATATTCATAAAATAAAGTATTTTTAGTAGTAAAAAGGATCAAACTATGAAGACATGAGTTTTTTTTTTAATTGAGTGAAAAAGCCATTGTACAAAAAAAGAACATCCTGTGTGATTCCATTTATGTGAAATCCTAGAGGAAAACTAATTGGTGGTTAAAAGGAGTAGAATGATGGTTTTACTAAAAGGGAGGTAGAAATGGGATTGACTGGAAGGGGTATAGGGAACTCTCCAGGATGCTGGCGGTGTTTCCTAGGTGTGTGCTTTGATCCAAACCCATGGAAAGGTGCACTTAAGATTTCTCCATTTCTTTTCATTTATATGTTTCCTTTTTCAAAAGGAAAAACAGAACTATAAACTAGTATTAAACGCAAGCCTAGGGCTTCCTTTGAAGAACACAAAATAGAAGACAGTTTGATGGCTGGATATTAATACTGAAAAGGGAAGAATAACTGTCACTTTTTGAAGATGGGGGTAGAAAATCTAAAGGGAAAATAATGAAAAGTTGTTATAAACAAGAGAATTTAGTAAGGAGGCCGGATGTAAGGACCAACATGCAAAAATGAATAGCCTTCCTTGCCATTAGACTAACCAAGGAGAAAATTTCCCAAAGAAAAATCCCACTCAAAATTGTATAAAAAACATAAAGTGTTCAGAAACTTAAGAAAAGTATAAGGCCTATATGAGGAAAAGTACTCTCTGTTACTAATATAAAGAACTTCTTTTAAATGATATGGTAATATTTTCATAAATTCTTGGCAAGAAACTGTTTTTAAAACTGAAAGGAAAAGATAGATATGGCAAAGCACAAATAAAATTTCTGCATTATGAAATGTAACACAAATAAAAGAAAGCCAATAGGAGAGATACGGGTAGCCTATGTACCAGGTAAAAGATAACCAGTACATAACAAAGAACTACAGACCTATCAGCAACAACTCAACAGAGGAGTGTGGGGAAGATGAAGAGCAATTAAAAAAAAAGAAATTAAACAATAAATGAGATTTTTCTGAACTATAAAATAGTGCTATCCACTGATGGAAAGAATATGGAGAAAAAATATCTATGAAGTTATAAAATACTTTGGATTTCAATGTGGCATTATCGGTTCACAAATAGATGAATGGAATGAGTTGGCAGAACAATTCCTTCTTCAGTCATCTGAGCTGCAGAATCATGCATTGCCCCAAGTGTATGCACTTTGATTTCCATCCATGGAGGAGTAATTAAATAAATCATAATATAACCTTATCACAAAATGTTGGAGATCAGTTAAAAAGGTTGAGAGAGAACTCTGTAGCCTGGCATTGGGAAATTCTTCTAGGTAGATTGAATCAAATCTATAAAAATGATATGATCACATTTAAATAAAAACAGTTTCTAGACAGAAAGGACTAGTTATTTAGCCAGTATCTTTTTTTTTCTTCATTAGTAATAGAAGTAAAACATAGTTAGCTAAAAGACCATAGACCCCCCCAGCCTCCCTTGTAGCTTGTGGTGGCTATATGTCTAAGTTCTAGCCAATAATATGTAAAAATGAGTTATTAGGACAGTTTCCTTGGGAGGTTCATCAAAAGGGAAACAACTGATGTGCTCTCTTTTTGTCATTGCATGTTTTCTCCTTCCTTCTGTCTTAAATAAAGACGTGATGGCTGGAACTGTGGCACTCATCAGGGACCAAGAAGGAGTAGAAGCCAACACTAAGGATGGCAGAGCAGAAACTTCAGAGTAGTCTGGGTCCCTGATAACAGTGGAGCTGCCGTGTTGCCTATGTTTAGACCACGTGTAATAGACAATGTCATACACATGGGAAAGGAGGATGTCAAGGCCAAGGCAGAAGTCCAAGGTCTCAGTTGGTGGATTATAATCAGGGAGCCCAGAATACTAGAAAAAGTGAGGCAGACACATGGTCATCTGATGGAAGATAATGGGGGAGAGGTCCAGTAAGTGAAGCACAAATTCAAAGTTTCAGCAAGATACATGCCAGATGAATAGAAATAACTAGGGTTTGTGTGTGGGTGTGTCGTACTGGGGATTGAAGTCAGAGGTGTTCTAACAATGAGATACATCCCAACTTCTGATTTTTTTATTTTCGACAGAGTCTCATTGAATTTCCCAGGCTGGACTCAAACTTGCACTCTTCCTGCCTCAGTCTACCAAGTCCCTGGGAGAATCAGGATTCTTGAAGGGATAGGTTGCTTTATCTGGTTAAGCATCAAGGTACCTTAAGGGATGGACAGGAAGTGACAGATAGCAAGCATCCATGGCTTGCTCCTTTTCCACCTATGGCAGACATCATTAATCAATCTTGGAACAATTTCCTATCAAACTGTACAAGGTTTTATAGTTCTCCCCAATAGAGTACTTTGGGTAGCCACTACCCATCAATTTCCAATTAGCATAATAGATGAGATTATTTGACTCCCTAGGTATTGACAATTTTTCCCTGTGGATGTCACCTGCGGGAGCTCATGGCTTCCCAGGATAAAAGGCTTCTCCCTGCAGGAGAGCATCAGGGAGCACAGCAACCTCAGAGCTCTCCTTGGTGCTGAAAATCAGTCCCTGCCACTTCCCACCCAGCTGCCATTGTTCATCTGGACCAAGTTTCCCATAATTACCAGAGAGATGCACCTTGTAGATGAACAGAACCCAGACTCTCTTAGGGGATGAGAAAAGATAGGTTTGGGATGTGAGGAATTCTGAAAGAGATGTGTTAGTATTTGTTATGAGGTTGGCTTTAGCAAGACAAGAGCCTAGACGACGTAGGAGCTGGTTTCAGAGAAGCTGTGGGTGAGCAACAGAACATTCTGCAAATCATGAGTGAACTTGGGAGGGAAACGCAAGGTTATCCACCTATAGCACACCTTTAGGTTTGGGACAGGGTGAAGACAGAGTAGGTCACAGAGACAGAAAAAAATCAATCAAATTTGAGTACTAATCGCATGGTTCTGTAAATTGAATATTTGTGTCCCCCCCATTCATATGTTGAGATTCTAACCCCAAATGTGATTGTATTAGAAAGTGGATGGAACCTTTGGTATATGATTAGATCTTGAGAGTAGAGCCCTCATGAATGGAATTAGTTTTCCGTTGCTGTCACAAAATACTTGAGAAATTCAGCTTAGAGGAGGAAAGATCACAGTTTGGATCACAGTTTCAGAAGTTTCGGTCCATGGTTGGCTGGATCCATTGCTCAGGCCCTGAGGGGAGACCGATCTCATCGTGGAAAGGTGTGGCAGAGGAAAGCCGCTCGCCTCATGACAGCCAGCCAACAGAGAGGGAAAGATCAAGGAAGACACCAGCCATCTATGTCCTCTGACACATGAGCCTTTGGGGACATTTCAAATCCAAACTATAAAAGGGCCCTTATAAAAGAGACCCTGGAGGGCCCCTTCCTCCTTCTACCATGTAAGGAAACAGCAAGATGCGGGCCCTGGACCAGGAAGTGGGCCCTCACTCAAGGCTCAACCTGCTGGTGCCTTGATCTTGAACTTCCCAGCTCTGGACCTGTGAGAAACCAATTTCTGTTGGTTAAGCCACGAGTTTTCAGGATTCTGTTAGAGTCTCCCAAACAGATAAAGACACATGGGCAGAACTTTTGTTGGTTAAATTCTAGGGGACAGACTTTTGCTGGTTCATGGATATTTATTTCTTTATATATACTTTTTAAAATATGTTTTTAGTTGTCAAAGGACCTTTATTTATTTATATGCAATGCTGAGATTTGAACCCAGTGCCTCACACATGCTAGGCAAGCGCTCTAGCACTGAGCTACAGCCCCAGCCCCATAGATACTTTTTAATAGCATATTTTTTTTTGTTATTTTAAATGTAGCCTATGGTCATTGTGGGAACACGGGGGCAAACAGATGTGGAAATGAGAGCCCATGTTCCAAACACCGTCACTGATGCTGTGGGGGCGTAGGTATTTCAGTCTGGTTTCCTTGAATATTGACATAATTGAGATGATACTGATGGGGCTCAGAAAATGACACCCCCAAAGTGGTTTGGCATATAAGTGCTCTGAACTGAAAGATATGAGGAGGGCTCAGAAGGAGCCTCAGGGGAGAGAAGAAAATTCTCTCTGACCCCCCTTAGTCCTCCTGTCTCCTGTCCCTCTTCTTTGCCCAAAATGAGTCACAGAAACCAGGATTCCCTCTTCCCCAAGGTGGGTCACTGAAAATAGGACCCCTGTCCCCCAGAGCATGTTGTGAAAACTGTGCCTTCTCCCCTCCACCTAAAATCTCTCATTCCAGAGGGCTCCTGCCCCATTCCCAGGAGGAAGGAATGCTCCAGAGAGGCCAAGAGGAATCTGCACAGAGGGGCCTCGGACGTTCCTGTTCCGTCTGTAGAATCAGAGCCGCCCTGGTGTGCTCACGCTGCCCTGGGGGTGTGCGTTCTCAGACCTGCATGTGGAAACGGTTTCCCCAGGGTCTGAGCCTTCGTTTCTGAAGATCCCCATATCCCATAAAACTTCCATCAAATAAACTGATGATACTTTTCTCTCGTTAACTTGTCTGGCGTCCTGGGACTGTTGGTCCGTGACTCTTATCATGATTGAGTGAAGAATCATGACTTTCTGTTATGATTCATGCTGATTTTCTTTTTTACTTAACATGATATTATTAGCATTTCCTAAGGTTAAAAATTCTATATAAGAATGATTTGTGGGCTGGGGATGTGGCTCAAGCGGTAGCATGCACAGGGCGCTGGGTTCGATCCTCAGCACCACATAAAAACAAAGATGTTGTGTCCACCGAAAACTAAAAAAATAAATATTAAAAAATTCTCTCTCTCTCTCTCTCTCTCTCTCTTAAAAAAAAAGGAGAATGATTTGTACTGGTTGCATGGTATAGCATTGAGTCTGAATGGACTCTAATCTATTAATCATTCTCTCGTTTTTTTTTTTTTGTCGTTGTTGTTGTTTTGTTTTTCTTTGATTCTTTATTTTTTAATGAAGATCACAGCCCTGGTATGAATTTGAACACACTTGTGTCAATATTTCTGCCCATTTTCTTAAGCTCCAATAAATGGAATTATGGAGTTAAAGGATCTAAACCTTTAAAGCTCCTGATACCTGTAGTCAAGTCAATTTTTTTGGTACAGGAGATTGAACCCAGGGGCACTCGACCACTGAGCCACATCGCAGCCCTATTGTGTATTTTATTTAGAGACAGGGGCTCACTGAGTTGCTTAGCCCCTCGCTTTTGCTGACGCTGGCTTTGAACTCACGATCCTCCTGCCTCAGCCTCCCTAGCTGCTGGGATGACAGGCATGAGCCAAGGCAGCCGGCATCCTCCAGTCCCCTTTGAGAAAACTTGTGCCCATGTGACCTTTCCAGGTTCTTCATTCCAAGATGATGCCATCAGGTAAGGTCTAGGCTATCCTTTGTATCAGAAAAAGACAAGTGAACCCAAGATGAACAAGATGGACACTTATTTCTTCATAATTAAACAATCCAAAGTTAAGAAGCACCAGGTGGAAGAGGTAGCTCTCCTAGGGCTGGAATTCTTGTCGCTTCTTCCGCCATTTCCTGTGGGATCATCTCTGACCCTATGGCCAAAGGGCCTCCAAGCCTTCATCTGGTTTCATTCTGTAAGAAGGAGCAGGAAAAGGCGGGAAGGGACAGACAGTTTTGTTTGGGTGAATGAACTGAAAGCAGCCCCCCCCAATCCGCTCTGCTCTGCGCTGTGCCGTGGGAGCTGAGCTCTGCAGCTTGCTTGCCCTGAGGCTTCTGGTTCAGCTCAGCCATTGACTAAGAGGCCAGAGGGTGGAGAAAGAGATCCCTGTCCACTTCTCCGACTCTCTCTTTGCTGGGGATTGCCTGAGTCCCTTTATGGAAGGCGGCATCCCCTGTCTGATGACCCGCTCCACGTGGCTCTCTTGGGCTTGCTCTTGCTCCCTTCTCTGGCCCCCTGTCGCCAGCCTGTGTCATCGCTGGCTGCCTCTCCTTGATGCTGCCGGCTGTGCTCCTGACACCGATCCCTCAGAATTTGGCTAGACTACAGGTTAAGAGCAAGGTCTCCCCCAAGACTGCCCTCGCTTCAGACCCTAGCTTCAGCACACCGGCACCTCTGTCCAGAGGGCTACAAATATGGGGATTTCCACTACTTCCTCAGATTTTCATTATTCTAGAACAACTCATGGAACCCAGGATAGGATAGTATTTATAGATAGATGGTTCACAAGAAGCTACAATAAAAATCAAAGAAGGATGTGTCAGGGCAAGGTCTGGGAGGGTCTCAAACACTAACATCCCATCCCATCAGAGTGTGACAATACGCATAGTAATGCCACTTAGGGAAGTTCACCTAAGTTTCCGTGTCCCACTTCTGATGGGGTTTCATTACTTAGGCAAAACTGATTAGAGGACTGGCCGCTAAAGGTAGGGCTCCTACCATGCGTCTCAAAGTCCCAGCTCTCTAACTGCATGGTTGGACTTTCTGCTAGGGTCAGGCTCTGTCCTTAGTCAT